ATTATTAAATTTCAAAGCTGGCAGTAAATCTCCTACGGAAATCTGTGTTACAATTTTTCTGCTCAGGTAATCCTAAGATATTCGTTTTTTTTTTTTTTTTTTTGGTCGTTGTAGAATCTTCGATGTCCAAGCAACAGGAACACTCGTTTCTCTGTTTATTATTAGCGACCGAGTCTATATATCATGTTTATTATTTTCGCTTTTTTATTACTGAATTGATAAAATTCTTTGAAATCCAAAGATTAAAAAGAAATCTAATAAATCTGGAAAGAAAACTGGAGACCCATTTCCTCAATTTCAAGATTAGTTTCCTCAATTCACCGGTGTATTCGATGAATGAGGTCTTTCAAGAACCAATCATGTCACAAAAAAAAAATCAATTAAGATTCTCGATTTTGGGACACTTAATTATCTGGTTGAAATCCAACGACGAACTGCTTTCTCTTATTTATGGTGAGCAGCCATTACGTGCATTGTTGTAAATGTTTCACTTTCGACGTAGTGCCAGAAGTTAACTCTTTCAGTTGTTGTTCCGTTCAAACGTAAGCGATTGTGGCTCTCCACATATTCCTTTTCTTTATTATCTGTGGTTTCTTGATAAAAATTTTGGAGTGGTTTCCTGTTGCCGTCTTCGCGGTTCTGCATTGCAACTTCTTTCCTTAGACTTGATGCCGCCCAGTCTACACTTCTATTTAATTGACGGTAAGAAATGATGATTATATGCATTTCCAAAGGGTATTTTAGCGAAAGTGAACACAACAGACGAAGTAGAGATTTGAACTTGGTTAGTTGATTTCTGTTTTCGGTGCCGATAACCGTACCTCTACTATTATAATATTTATTTTTTTAAACCGATAATGAATATCTCAACAAATACATATTGATTAAAATTTGATATATTTATAGGGGAAAAGTGTTCAATATTGACGATAGAGCATTTCTAGACATAGACGGTGTGGACATAGGAATGAACACTGCATTGTGACTGTTTCATGTTTATTATGTTCCAAACGTTTTTCGAATCGTCGTCCATATTTAGAATATTACTGCCACATATGGTTTAGTGCTTCTGCTATATACATTTAGAGATCCTTGATAAAATCCAGAGAAGAATCTGCAATGTGATTGGTCATGACATGACATCTCGACTTCAGTCACTTTCTCACTGCTGTAATGTAGTTTCCCTATTCCTTTTCTATAAAAACTTTAATGGTAATTGTTTCTGATGAACTTTCCTATATGGTACCTAAACTTTATGAATTTAAGCACATTTCTCAATTGGCAGCAATATCTCACCATTTTACAGTCGAAAAGTCCTGCTGTAACCGTAAGTTCCATGAAAACAGTTTCTTTTTTCGCCTTTTTCGCTTATGGAACTTTCTTCCGGCTTCTTGCTTTCCAGTCAAGTTTGACCTTCAAAAATTTAAATGCAATATCAATTGTTATTTTCTGTCCTTTAAATTGTTCTTTTATTGATCTCGCTACTTAACAATATTTTTCACACTCAGTAACCTTTTACATCTTAATGACTCTGTTGCCTTGCTTCGGTTGAAATTATAAAAAAAAGGCTATTGAGCATTTCTAACTAAGAGCTGGAAAACTTTTGGATTCATCGTACCATTTCAAAAAGAAAAATAATTATGTTTTGTATTTGTTTACTCTTCGACAGATTTCTGATTTTCACGAAATGTGTCGGTTGAGGTTTTAAACGTAGTAAATTCAATCAGTTAAAAGAAAAGAGTGAGTTTCAATCCGTAAGAAAGACACGTCATATCACCAACAGCCGTTGAGAAGATTTATTGACAAAATCTTCGATTAGTGAAAAACTGATGTCCTCGATTCGATTCCAGGTGCGCAATACTAAAACAAACAAAAAAAAAAGATTGATGAAATAAGTGAAGAAAATGAAAATAAAAACGAAAAATTAAATATTAACTAAAAAAAAAATTAAATAAAACCAAAACAAATTCATTGAATTCCGTTGTAAAACGGTAAATAATTAAATGAAGACCGCTTAAAATAAACAGAAGAAAAAAATGAATTATTTCTTTTTTGTGTGCGGTCTTGTGTGCATGAATAAACGTACATGTGTAACACACACATATATAAATAAATATAGATTTAAGAGTGTACACTGAGTCAACAGTGTGGCGACAGTCTGTTTCACGTTTGAACGCAGGCCATGTGTGCTGGGTGGTAGATCAAAATTTTGATATACTGGTCAATGGAGCATTATGGGTAACAAGGTCATGCATTTCCGGTTCATTGTGTAATCCTAACAGATAATCAGTAGACAGAAACGGTTATATTTTAAATTATTCTGAAGGCTATTGAGTAGAAATGCAGCTATTTTATAGCCACTGTATGAGGTTGTTTGTTAATTTTGAACTCATTTTTTTAATATTCATTCCTTCGGGTATTTTGTATTTATTCATTAATTATTCGCTGTTGATTATTATTATTAAATTTATTTAGCTGTAGTTATATGCGCATTCGTACAGTTTGTTACATAATTTATTTATTTAATTAATTTGTTTAGTTATTTAGTTTTTCCTTTTGGCAGGTTGGTTATCTTATTTGTTTAGTTTCAATTATTGGCTATGTTTAAAGTATGTTAATTTATCTGCGTTATATATAGTAGGTATACTTGCATTTTTCTTGTGATGCTTTACATGGTATTCATTTTTAATCGAATAATCTGATGATTGCGCTCAGGCATGAAACAGGCTGTTGCTATTTAGTGTTGATCTCAATGTCCCCTCTTATATTTATACATGCTTTGATATTGAGCACTTTTACCCATAAATATACCACACTTTAAAACTATATTTTCATCATATATTATATAGGTTGGTTGGTCGATTTTGTTTAGCAGCATATCAACATCTATGAGTTATTTAATGCCGAAATCTAAATATTTTCAACAATTTTATGGCTTTAACCACAGACAAAATGTATTATTGGGAATTTTACTATAAATATGTACTGTTGGTAATTTTTTTTATATAAAAATGAATTGCTGGTATTTTGACTATAAAAATGTATTTTATATTTTTATAGTGTTTCGTTTTTTTTTGGTGGAGGTTCACTATTTACCTATAGATGGGATCCTAACAGGTGTTACCACCCCGGGATATAACAGCAATTAAGAGGTGGTTCCAGGTTCCTCAAAACCTCCAATGTCCCGATCAGAAGTCTTGCTACCGAATGTAGCGTATTGTCATACCCAGAACTAATATAAATAGGTACCGCGAAAGATTCGGTAAAAAAATTATCATGCATAATGAAAAATGCTTAAAATTAATAAAAACAAACTTCTATCGTCAAAATCTTTATGTTATTATTAAGAGGAAAGAGCAAAAGATTTTTTTATTATTTAATTATATTTTTTAATCCTTTTTAGAACCTTAAAAATGTTGGGTAAAAAATTTGTTTTTCTTGCGTCAACAGGTTAATTAGTATGGGAAATCTTAGCATCTTTTTGCGGTGAAAAACTCATTGATTTGGAAATTCTTACAAAAATCAGATAATTGTCCGATTTTAATGATATTTTCAGAACTTTCACAAATGATTGCAATGATTTTAGAAACGTTTGTTTTTTTGAAAATCTTGGCAAAATATTTTTTCCATCTGTTACCTCCCACTTATTTAATTTTATGAAATTTCGAGAAATTCATTTTTGTAGATCTTAAGGTTTATATTACTTATGAGCACAAGTCCTCGGAGAATGTAAATCATAATAATTTTTTGTCAACCTGGGTCTCCAGTTACAGAAGATCTGCTCTGAACCGTAACATAAAACGTTATTTAATTGCAAAAAACTTTTAATTGCTTAAGAAACAAATTTTCGATGAATAATGAATTTTTACAAGAATTATTTTCATTTATTAAAAAAAAAAATAATTAGAATAATTTGTAAAAACTTACTACAATTCAGTGGCCCCAAGTAATTTAAGAAGAAACTTGAATTGATTTTGTGTGTGTGTAAAAGTGCCAATTTTTTGTAAATACGGGCATCCACACACAACATTATTAGAAAATAAGTGCGGCAACTATAGTAAATTTTAAATTTATTGGTAATTTTTTAGCATTTATTCAATGGGCATCCTAACAAGTAAGAGTGTAAAGCCAAAGTATCTAATATTTAATAAAATATTAGTTTACTTAGAATACTTTCCTAATTTTTAAAGATTACTGGCTAGTTAAAAATTATATAAGAATGGCGTTCATGTTGTATTCAATGAATTATTACATTTAAATATCCTTTACTTATTCGGGTTATCAATAAATGTGTCAACATGCCATACAAACTTCCACCTTCATGTTGAAAAAATAATTTTTCGCGATATTTTAAAGTAAAATTTAGTAATACTTCTTTTAATTCAGATTAATTAAACTTTAAATCAGTTATTCTTTCTCAAGTAAAATTTCAGAAAAGTAAATTTTATTTTTGAAAGATATTTTAAACAAGAATTACGTTGTGTTGACAGAATTGTCTAACTGGTAGATTTTACCCATTTTAGCAATTACAAAAATAATTTCAATCAATATAAATCCGTTTTGAAATACAGCAAAGTGTTTTTTTCTTATTGGAAATATTAAATTTAAAATATTAACTCAAAATTAAAACTAAAATGAAACTTCAAGGAATATTTTTCGTTTTTAAAAAAGTATTTCATACCTTGGGTATCGCTTTTCTTTGGAGGGAGACACATAAATACAAACACACACACACATACGTGTGTGTGTGCACGTGCGTGTGTTTGTGCGTGTCTGTGAGAGGAGGGGTGCTAAAACGTTATTGGTCTGACCAACAACATCATCCATAATTACTTTTGACGTTTGATCATTTGCTCAGACATTTATATATGTATTCACCCCTGCGTGTGAATATATATATATATATATATATATATATATATATATATATATATATATATATATATGTGTGTGTGTGTGTGCTTGTTTTGTGCGTGTGTAAGCATCAGAAGTCATTATGAATGTTCTTGGTCAGACCGAGAACTTTTAGTACTTTTCCTTTTACACACACATATCTATCTATCTATCTATCTATCTATCTATCTATCTATCTATCTATCTATCTGCGTGTGTGTGTATATGTGTGTGTAAGCATCAGAAGGCATTATGGGTGGTTCCTTGGTCAGAACGAGATCTTTTTAGCATTCCTTCTTATATACCGGGTGTAACTGCAAAATTGTCCAAATTGTGTAACAGCACGTGATAATTGTCCACCCCACAAAATTCTTAATATCTAAAAAAAAAAAAAAGAAAAGAAGCTAAACTGAGTTTCCTTTTTTCCAGATTTTCAGATAAGACGCTTAGCAATTTGACACTATTTGTCGTAAGAATCACCGAAAAACCCTTTGAGTTAGTCAGCTAGAAAGAAAACAGGTTAAAATCGTTTTGTGTCAGCCCCACTATGTCTTTCCAACTGAACAATGGTGTGAGGAAATCATTAAGGCCTTCAGTAATGGTGCCAACATTTATACTCTGGCTTCCATCTTCAAAGTCGATTCAAGAACCATCAAGAGAAGTGTGAATAAGTTTAAAAAAGAGGAACAATAAAAAGAAAAACTTGATCAAGAGATTACAACAGCAAGAGGGATCATCATTCCAACTTAGAGCCAAATACATTCTCATTGTTCAAAGTAGAATCTAATAGTATTATAAAAACCTCGGAGAATTCCAGTAAAATATCTTTAATCATTTCTAAGATACAATGGTTCAAAGCTTAATCTAACAAGTGAACAATTTTGCTGTTACATCTGCTATATATATATATATATATATATATATATATATATATATATATATATATATATATAAAGTAAGCATGGAAAAATTGTGGATTATCAATAAGGAAATTGTCAATAAACTCGAAAGGAGTAAAAATAGAGAGTTAAAGGGAATGAGAAAAATGAAAAGAAAGTGTGGGTAATAAATAAAAACAAAACCGACAAGAAGGAAAAATAGAAAGAGAAGTGCTAGGATTGTCCTTTTTTTATTCTTTTAAAATTCCAATCTAGAAAAAGAGAGAAGGATAGAAGTGAAGAGAAAGAGCGTATATGAGAGAGGAAGTGAAAGGGAAGAAGGAGATGAAAAAAAACAGGAGAGTGATTTATAAAGAGAGTGTGTCATGTGTGTGAATGAGAGTGAGATTAGAGGTGGAGTAGTAGAAGTAGGAGGTGGAAGGAAGAAAATTCACGTGCTCATGTGTATGTGTGCGATTGTGCTGGTTCGAGCGTGCGCGCGTGTGTGTGAAAGATGGAAAGATGGAGTGCGAAGCAAAATCTTGTCGATTGAATGAGAAACGAAATAATCTAATTTCGCCGATCCTAACTGAGGCGGGATGAGGTTACAGGTTAAAGGATGGATAGAATATCGACCCACGTTTCCCACTCTATTGTGTTTGTACCTCGCCAGATGCGTCCATTTTACAAAGCGGCCCTTTAAGTAAACACAATTTTTTTTTTCCTTCGTCCCATCTCTCTCCCCCACCTCTTCTCTTTCTTTTTCCTCCCTACTTCCTATCCTAACTTCTAATTGTCTGTGATGTATGTATGTCACCACGAAATGTATCTTTATGCATTAGACATCCGTCGACTTTCTTTCTCTCTTCTTTTAAATTCCCCACCCCACCCACATCTCCTAGAATTCTCTCTGTCCCTCCTCCTCATACTTACTCTTTCTCTAAATTCGTTTTTGATTTCGGAGTTGTTTTTTCTGTTTTCATTTTGAATTTGTAGGTCTGATGATTTGGATCGTATTTACGATTCCAATGGAATAAATTATGACCATGGAGTATTAGTGTTTAAGCCTTTTATTATATCCTTACTCTGTCCTAGACATTGAGTTCTACCTGGATCCTTCCTCTTGAAAATATTTTTTCTGAAAATATACATGTATGGAAATTTTTTAGATATATATTTTTCATATGTATGTATATTTTCCACTAATATTATCTATATATATATATATATATATATATATATATATATATATATATATATATATGTTACCGGTTCGAATGTTGTTGTTGAAGTAGTATAAGTTAGCCCCTTGTTATATGTATTTGTAGTAGTAGTTGATAGAGAAATCCTTTTTACTTTTTTTTATACTGAAAATGAAATGCATAAAATGTACAACGATAGCAACAATAAGACTTGAGACACGTATTGACATTAATAACAAGTATGTCTATTTTTCTTTTTCGTGTTGTGAATTACAGATATTGGTATGGTGTGTGTTAAAAATGTTCTCAGTGTTACTGTTTCTTTTGTTACTTTAAAAGGTTCTGTTTACTTGTTTTTGCTTGTTCCAAGAATCTCGTTTTTAAGGATAACATTTGAGATCGTCAACTTTCGATTTTCCGGAGCGATGGTTCTACGTGTGCGTTGTGTTCCTTTTTACTACTGCTACTGCTACTGCTAGTATACTCTAGTCTACTCTATTGAGCCTACTGTCCTGACTTCCCTCGCTTATGGTGGAAGGGTCGTTTTTATAATCGGATTTTAGAATGATGAAATATCTTTCTCATCCTTCATCACAGGTGGCAAGGTTGTTTTTAGGATGATGAAATTTTTTTATCTTTATTTCAGGGATGATGAAATATTCTTATTTTCTATCATCACTGTTGCAAGGATTTTTAGAATGATGAAATATCATCATCATTCTGGATCATAACACCCCCCCCATATATATATATATATATATATATATATATATATATATATATATATATATATATATCAAACGGAAAAAATCTTTGAAAGTTGTGAGAACAAGCGTAAGTGTACCTGCGAGGAGAGTTTCCATTTCGCGTTGTTTTTTGTGTTTCCACGGAAAATGGAATCAGCGAAATGAATTCATATCCCAATTGAGGCAGGTTTTACTCTTTTCTATAATCATATTGGGAAAACATGGATCTAGAGTCAACTGCTATCTATCTTACATATCTTCATAATATGCAACCCTTGCTTTCTCGTACGCATTTAAAACAAGCTCATTCAGTAACTTGAGTGGCTCTTGGGTGAACAATAATAATAATAGTGAGTGGGGCAAACAGCAGAGCAAACTGTGTTCACTGGTCTTCGGTGACAAGAAGGACAACTCTAAAAGCAAAATCAGAATTGGAACCCATTCAGGCGGTTGTATATCAACCATAACTTCCCACCCGGCGGCTCCTGCAGCCATATTGATCTCAATAGTTAACGGTCCGAGAAATGTACGGCTTAGTGGTTTTATGAAGTTTCGATTGTCCTGTCAATCTGGAAGTGAATTAAATGAAAAAACATACCCAAGAGAAAGCATAAACAACTACCCACAAAACGTGGATAAGAAAACTGCCTCTTGTAGCTGAGATAGTCACACCCTTTTTGTCAATGTCAGTGATTAGGGATTCAATTCAGGATGGGTGCTCAACAAATGTGACCTTGTGCCAAAATTTGATGGTAAACGGATTTAACAATTAACATAGTATCTCAAATAGTAATGCTGCTTTGATAAAATATTCCAGGTCAATGTAATTGCAAGTTGTTCTATTTATATCCTTTACAGAGAAATGTAATTTGGATTTTTTTCAGAAGAGGAATTATCATTATTATATGCCTCACTATTTGGACAAGCAGGCTTATCTTGGCCACAAAGATTCTTGGTTGTATTCAGTCATTTTCTTGGACTTTCGAACCGAATACTTTATTTAATCTACGGGAATAGATTGTTCTCATTTCACTGCCTATTTTGGAATATTTCATATTAAAAATCACTAGTCTAATTCACCTTTGTTTGTCCCAGTTTTCAGCACTACCAGGCCCAGGAATTGAACCCACAACTATCAGAAACCAGATATATTTTAATAACAATATGTACAATTTAGCGGTGTAATTTTAAAGTCTTAAACCTAATGGCTATATAAAGAATTTTACGAGTATCTTGACACAAATGATGGAATTTATCTGAGCTTCTTTCTTAATAGGGCTCATCTCTATGATGAGGAGGTTATCAATATCTAGCATGCACACTGATTCTTTCAGTCGTCTTATTCCTCATCCAGTGTTGTTCTTTGTCTATTATCTTACCTTCACATACTGGATTTAATAACCACCCTCTTTCTTTCATATATGAACAGCCATACCTAATTTCAATATTGCTCCGTTGACTAAAACCTTTCGATGTTCCCCTACTCTTACCTTTAGAAGGTGGCTAGTCTTTCCTTTGTAGTCCACGACACAACTGCATGGGGTGGAATACACACAATTCTTGGTTATGTTATCCTTTGACGGAGGCTTTTTTTCTGGAATGATATCTCCGAAGGGTTGCACTGCTTTTGAACATTGTCCTGATATATGGAACACAAATCCCCTGAATCATTTCAGATGTGGTTCTTATATATGGTACAGAGATCGTGAAAGATTTGTTTTTATTGTAGTCTCTTTCAGTCTATTCATATCCATCTGTTGGGATAACTTTGCTTCCTCTTCCTCAATTAGTATTCACTGTGTTTGGCTGGTCATGTGACCCTTAACAACCAATTAGAAGAACGTTGTTTTAAACAGAGGGGCAGGTTTTTCGTAGACATCTTATAGAGAAGATAGGTCCTGACTGGTGAGCTCAAGTATTAGATTTAATATATGTAGAAAGGGACCCAATATACATACCGTCTTTCTCTCTCCCACCATATTTTCCAAACGCATTTTTATTTACATATGTAAGCACACAACTGACGAACATCGACAAATTTGCCTTTCGCTTCACAGTCTCCTTCGAATACTAATATCTGCCATTGTTTCACAATCGTCTAAAGATAAATGTGTCTTCATTGTTTATTCAATTCAGACAAATTACACAAACCTTTCGATTGCAGTCAATGACAACGTTAAATCGAACCAATCAAGGCGCACATTCTGATCAAAATCCGCCATCTTGATTACTTGACGTTGGTTGTGGGTAACACATTCAGAGAGCAGCGATTGTTTTAAGTTTTCTGGTTTAGTCTTATGATTGAAGAAATATTAAATATCAGTGAGGAAAACCATTCATATATTTACAAATAATAATAATAATAATAATAATAATAAAAGAAAGGATCTC